ATGTAAACAATCATCGCACACTTGAAGGCAATATTGAGAGCCCTTTAGTGTGTACCACACTTATAAATTGTATTTGAACATTCTCGTTTCCGATAATATCCAAATTTAGATTTGTGAACCCTGAGACAAGCCAAGTTAGTTTTTGTTAGCGTCGCAACCCCACTTCCCGTAATTTTATGTTAGTTATAAGCTTATATTTTAAACTATTAAAGTCAGTTGTTACTTAGCTTCAAACAAAGTGTTTTATTCGAACATATCCATACAAAAACCGCCACCAAACTTAACTCCTGGCAAGAAATGTTATCCAGTAGCAATGTCAGGCACACCTGCCTCTACGAATATACTATGTGTTTTATATAATATTGAATTGTATTAAAACTTGTTATATTTTGCCTATCTCCCAGAATTATCAAAATTGGTTTAGCTATTCGAGCATAGCTTAATTAAATATTGTAAGTTAACATACGTCCTGTAGTTTCTGAATTAACTTTTCTTTCTTTGTTTTTTGTCAGAACATGGATAATAGATTTTCTAAATATTAAATGAAATATTTTAAACATCTTGGAAATTTGTCTATGCAACAGCACCTGATAATTGGAGTCGAGATTGTCGTAAATTTTAAGATTATGTACGTTGGATGTACATTAATCAATATTACTGTTTATTTCTCATTTAAGCGACGGCATCCGAGTATCTAGGACCTGTGGCGTCTTTATATATTGTTACATCATTACGATCCAAATATAGAATTAAAATATCGTGTGTGCTTCGGTACTGGTGCTTCCTTTCATTGTAAGTGTACAAAAAATAAGTCTTAAAAATATTTTTACTCGACTTTTGCAGTTGCAAAAATATGTTGCGGGAATGAGATTTTTGCGTTTTAATAATATAAATCTAATTTTTTAATTCACTATCCGCTTTTTGAAAGTTAAAAATCTATAGTAAATATAAAACCTATTTTCATGATATGTTTTTAATTTCCTCTTCCGGTTAATAATAAGATCGATTAAAATTATAAATTTCACGATAGTTTTAGTTCCATATTTTTAAGTACTTTTTTGTAAGTATGAAATGTTACAATTATTTTAATGGAATGCTAATCATTAAAAATAATGTTTAAATGAGATTAACTTTAAAATATTTTACGTTTTTTATTTAAATTTAAATTATATAAATATTCAAAAACTAATCCCAATCATTAAAAAAAACACTCTTTTCAACACGGTTTTAACTTTATTTGTTTATTTACAGAATAATGTAATTGAAATTATGATATGTGAAACTAGGAAACTTATGTGTTTTGTATTAATATAAATAAATAATATACACAGATAAGAGAAGAGTCGTATATTAGTTGTTTGAAATTAAAAAAAAATAACCAACGCCAACTTAAATCATTAATTAGCGCCAATGCACTTGAACAAAGGGAACAAAATCGAAGTTATTTATTAGTATTTTAAAACCCGCTTGCTCTGCGCCCCAGCTTTTTTGCTTGTCCGAGGGAGGTGATACGGGGCTAACGTTATTTCTAAAGCATTTTTTATTCATGGGATTCAACTTGGACTAAAGTGTGCAAGAAGCTCCTATGTAATTTTGTACGACATAGTTACTAATAATTAATTTTTTTTGCTTTGTCATTCGCCGTCAATAAATCATTAGATAAGATAGTTAGTCCAGGAGGAATCGGCGCATGAGTAGGTACCGAAAACTATTCCACCTCATTTTTTTTATGCGATCCTCTTTAAATTGTCCTACTGATGATATAATTGGATGTTGCCATGGGACAACCCCGTGCCATATTGTTTAAACTGAAATTGTTTAAACAATTGCAAGGAATTGTTATTTTTCAACCGGACATTTTTTTTTATATTCTTTATTGAAATACGAATAAAAAAAGTCCTATGACTTTTATATATAGTCAAGTATGCGGCGCTTACCTTTAAGTATCGCCGTCTCTCTCTGACTCATGCGCTGCATCGGCCTCTCTGTGTCCTGAATCATTATTTATCATTTATCTTAAAAACTATTAACTATTAACTTCAGAGAGAGACGGCGATACTTAAAGGTAAGCGGCGCATACTTGTGAGCGCGTGTAAATTAACAATTATAAAACAGGTATAAACAATAAAAAAAAAAAAGTCTCTATTAAGAATATTATTTACTATTGTATAAAGAATTAAAAAAAATATTATTTATATTTTATTTATTTTTTTAATATATTTTTCATGGGTAAAAAGTACACAAATTTGAGATTTTTCGAACCTTTAAAAATTCATATCTCTAAAAATATTAACTTTATCGTGAAAAGTCATAGGACTTTTTTTATTTGTACTTTAATAAAGAATATAAAAAAAATTTGTCCGGTTGAAAAATAACAATTCCATGCAATTGTTTAAACAATTTCAGTTTAAACAATATGGCACGGGGTTGCCCCATGGCAACATCCATTTATATCATCAGTAGGACAATTTAAAGAGGATCGCATAAAAATATTGACGTGGAATAGTTTTCGGTACTCATGCGCCGATTCCTCCTGGACTAAGTGAAGTGGTTTTAAAAACATACCTACTATTATGAGACCTTGTAAAATTTAACTTAATTTTCGAATAAAAATTCGCAAACAGTTAATGTTTACAGATAATTTAGATAAGATTTTTGCAACTTGTTTTTTTCTACGGAGAAAATACAATATATTATTTTTTATTTTAAGTAAAATTAAACCTAAAGCGGACAAATAATTCAATACAACCAAGACATTTATTATTTGTTATTTATTGATAAGTAATAATTGAACCCTTAATGAATGGAAATTGTCCTGTCGACGCCCCGTATTACTATGTTATCATACAATAACATTTATACAACAGTCATGTTTAAATAACTACTTGTACTTGTATAAAAATAAATTAATCTCAAAATACGTTGCTAAGCGCAAAACTCGAAGACGGCTGGACCAAACTAAGTTTTTTTTAAATTTTATTGTGTAGGTACTCTAATTATTTCTTATACTTTTAATGGAGAGAAAAAATTTTCCGCCAGTTGCCCTCCTTTTCTTTTAATTATTTCCTTCCTTCTCATAGACAGAAAGTCTATTGGTGCAAAGCCGGGGTTTGAACCTACAACTTCAAGGATGAGAGTGGTACATTGAAGCCACTAGGCCAACACTTAAACTAAAACTTCTGGTGGCCCCTTTTTAGACTCTGTTATTTTCTAAAGCATTTTTTGTTCATTTAATATTGAATACAATGACTAAAGTAGAGTGTGCACGAAGCACCTATGTAATTTTGTAATAGTTACTAATAATAATATTTTTTTGCTTTGTCATACACCGTCTCTAAATCATTAGATATGATAGTGAAGTGGATTTAAAAACATACATATTATTATGAGACCTTGTAAAATTTAACTTAATTTTCGAATGAGAAGTCGTGAACGGTTAATGTTTACAGATAATTTAGATAAGAATCCAACATGTTTTTTTTTATCGAGAAAAATCGATTATATTTTTAAGTAAAATTTAACCTAAAGCGGACAAAGAATTCAATACAACCATGACATTCGATATTAGCCATTTGTTGATAAGTAATAATTGAACCCTTAATGAATGGAGTTTGTCCTGTCGACGCTCCATATTACGATGTCATCATACAATAACATTTATGTTTGAAATAACTACTTAAATATATATTTATTATTTATTTCCAATACACAAATGCACAAAAAAGAAGAACAATAAAAACAATAACTAACCTTAAAATATAATTACTAAAATATATTATTAAAAGGAGTCCCTTTAGGCAAGGTTCCGAAGATAAACAGTTCAGTAACAAACTAATAACTACTTGTATCTATATAAATATAAACTAATCGCAAAATACGTTGCTAACTGCAAAACTCAAAGACGGCTGGACCAATTGAAGTATTTTTTTTAAATTTATACCTTGAACTCTAAGTATTTCTCTTTTTATGGAAGGAAAAATTTTGCCGCCAGTTGGCCCTCCTTTTCATTAAATTATGTCAACTGTATAATATTTCGTATACAACGAAGTGTTAAAAACAATAATAAATATATAAAAAAACCACGGAAAACATAAAAACCATTTTTTATTCCCAGAAAACGAACCGTCTCGGTGTAGCAGCAAAATGTTCCATATGTGCTATATAGCTTCTTAAAAGATAGGCTACATAAAAAATCCGATTAAGGTGAAACGAGAAACGCGAAACGTTCGCAGGAGGTTGCTAGTTGGAGGATGCTAGTTGGAGGATGCTAGCTGGAGGATGCTAGTTGGAGGTTGCTAGTTGGAGGATGCTAGTTGGAGGATGCTAGCTGCATACAATAATAATGATCATGTTATTATAAAATGTAAAACGGTTGTGTAAGTTTCGATGAATCATAGAACAAAATTGGCGGTGCCTGGAAGTAAAAAGCTGTTTATTGAATATCATCTAATGATTACGTCGATCAGCAGAATAGGAAGTAGGAACCTGTCAAAATTGTATTTGAATTCAGACGTTCTGTTTTGCGTACTACAACTAAGATTATTTCATGTGATTATGTAATATTAGGAAAAAGATAAATATCATACTGCTGATAAAGATCTATAATCTAGGATAACAAGCATTGACGAGCGTTTATAAGCAAAGGAATGTTATTAAATACTATATTATATATATAATTTAATAACATTTCATGCATATATTTGGTGCATAAGCTCAAAGTGTGGGTAATTGTCATAGGAAGTTAATACTGTCTACAGTAAAGTAAGTCGTCTGTACCACGGTCCCGATAGATATGCCCATAAACAAAGGAAAACATTTATTATCCCAAATCCACCATATTGGTACATAATATAATAATCATATAATTTATCTTTGCTTAAATAAAATTGGAATTAAGAATTCTGCTGAGATTTAATGAACTTTTGAACCATTAAAGTAACCGCGACGGGTTACAATACGAAGTGTTTTTAAATTTGTTTCTTTGCTTTCAGTTACACATTATGGGTGTCGAGAAATTTTCACACTTCGCTGTCCATAATTGGATGAGCGAAATACAAACCCGTGTTGTGGCTAAATCTGGAAAGCCTAGTGACCGATTCCACATTGGAAAACTGGTGCTGGATGCCCTTAGAGATGTTCCGGAACAAGTTCTTCAGGTACTTGACTCTTAATTGAAAATCCTGTACCACGTTTATCGAACTGAGTCATGCACACGATCACCAAGCATACATATTTGATTATTTAAGTGGATAGATAAAATAATAAATAGTTAATAAACCGCAAGTGATGGTCTAAGAAAACGTTTGAAATAAGGCCAGTTATTGTCTTTCTTGTTAATAATTTTGTTCTCAAATAGTGTTGTGTTTCTTCGAACATTTTAAATAAGATATATATAATCGCTTTAATCTCAGATCGACGGTGGAACTGGGGAATCCGAAACGTTTGGTTCAGCCCTGAAGAGATCCGTTCAGTGCGCTAACGCGTTTCTAGGGAGAGGTCTTAAAAAAGATGACGTAATAGTTCTGATGGCGCCGAACCATATCCATCTCTGCATACCAATGTATGCTGCATTTTACCTTGGCGTGGGAGTAGCAGGGGTTGATTATACGTTGGCAGAAAGTGAGTTCATCGTAACTTTTGTTCGGGAAAAACTTAATGATCTAAGACAGAAAAATTATTAGCGCGTCATTTCTTAAGAACTTCAATACTATTATGATTTATTAACTGTTAATTTTCATGGGTTTATATCTGTAATTAACAGCTGCTAGAATAGCAAATATAGCGTTTCAGCTTGCGACTATTATCCCTTAGGTCGTAGGTTGGAACCCCGGCTGTCTACGAGGCTTATGTAAACTTTTGTAAACCCTAAAAAGTTTATTTAATCTTTCATTTTAGTTCTGAACAATTAGTTAAATAACGACTACGTCATTTAACATTTATGCATTTACATTTGTGTGTTTTAATTTAGCAATTAATATACCTTGTGTTTCAGAGGAACTCCACGAGACATTCAAGTTTAATAAGCCTAAGATAATATTCTGCCAAAGCGAAAGAGCCAAAGATGTTGGAGCAGCCTTACAAGGTCTGGACTTCTCTTGTGAAGTCGTTACATTTAACACAGGATCCGAATATAAAACATTCTCAGAGTTGTTGGAGCAAGAAGCAGACGTTTCAATTGATGAATTTGAGTGAGTTAAAACTCCACTGAAATTGAATAATGTATAAAACCGCATTCATTCATTTTAAGTTGGAAGGACGCTCTCTATGTAATGTGGAGTTGAGTTACCGCAATTACACGCTCATTTGGTTCGTTGTGCGTAAAGTCCTGGCTAATTAAGCAACCTAGCCTTCCTTCCTTCCTAGAAGCTCAAAAAATTTCCTGGGACCTTCGCTTCACGGAGCGACTTTACAGCTCCGAGGTTGTCTGTTCGTTGGGTAGCCACAGCTTCGCATTCCAGGACTACGTGGGTGACTGATTCCTCTGCGCTGAAACAGCCTCTGCACAAGAGACTGTCTGTCGTGCCTAGGACAAAGAGATGTTTATTAAGGAGACAGTGGCCCGTTATTGTCACTACCATTATTTTGAGATTAATTCTATTCAGTCCGCTTTTTGCGACCAACGGTTATGTTGGAGCTCTGGGGATGGCGAGTCCAGGTAAGAAGAAGAAGAAGAGTAAGTGATGGAGCGGGTATGGGCCAGCCGGCATCATTATGGAACCTCCCCATGCAAGCGGCAGCATTATTGTCGAGAGATCCACTGTGTCCTTTTATCCACTGCAACCTAAATTAAACCCTGTTTGTCAGGGTTATTTCCGGCAGTGCATGGTGATACTCCAGTATTAGTTTGTTGTTCGTCCTTTTATTTTCTAACGACATCATCAGCGCACTGTCAGATCGATTGCAAAAATACTATTTAATATCAATGAAATTATAAAATATTAGTATTTTCAGATATATGCCAGACCTGGCCAATCTAATCATGAACAGTGTGTTTTAATGTGATTTTTTCGCCTGGGTGAGATGTCGCCAAGACGGTCGCCCGTTACTACGTATTCTTTATTTCTTATGATTTTATTTAGGTATATGGGCATTGAAATGATAATAATATATTATAATTCCATTACGTAACTATAAAATTAAAAAAAAAACGAATCCTTGATGATAGTCTGCTTCTGAGATGCCTTTGACCAATAATGATCAAATTTTAGGGCTGAAGATTTCGATCCATCAGAGACGCCATCAATGCTTATAGCAACCAGTGGAACAACTGGTTTGCCGAAATCTGCTGAAGTTACACACAAAAATCTCGTCTTTGGAATGCCATTCATGTGGTAAGTCTATAATTTAAAAATGGGCTTATTTACTTGTTTACTGTTCTTGAAAAATTTAGGTCAGTAAATAGAGGGCGCTAGAATCTTATTTTAAAATTTTGCATTGAAGCACCCTGGGGCAATGCAAAATTTTTGAAATGCTTTAGTTAATTTTATCACGCCTGTACACCTGACTCCAGTCATAGTATTAACATTATAATAAAAAAGATATTTGCTATCAAGTTTATAGAACGAATTCCTTCTATAGGTCACACTTTGACACGTTTCCCTCACCAGTGCCTTTATGTATTGTGATGTCTCCTCTCCAATGGTACTCGGCAATATTTCTACTTATCTCCTGCCCTCTGATGAGGCAGACAAGAGTCCAGTCATCGGAACCAATGACAAAGGAACATTCATATTACCTTATTAATAAGTATAGGGTAAGTTGTATAAAAAGTACCCACTATTTGATGCAATCATTTGTTTTTTGTGTGTGTATCTTGGGCTAAAAGTAGAGATAAATAGGCTTGAAAAATTTTAACTTTATCTTCAAAAATTTGCTTATCCTATACAAATATATTCTTTGCTATAATTAAACGTTATCTACATGAATATATTTTGCAGCCTTCCTTCGCAATGTCAAGTCCCAATATGTGGATGACCTTGTTTAAGCCCGGAGACCGAGAAGATTGTGATTTTACATCGTTTCAAGTAATTCTTAGCGGGGGTAGTGCAATGCCACAGAGTCTAAGGGATGAGATTAAGGTATGTACAATATTAGGTGGCGCCTAGTATTATACGTATATATATGTCTCGGTCTTAGTTTGCTTGTTTCTTTCATTATTTCTTATATAACCTGTAGTGATTAGCATTATATACTTGAAACTTCTATGTCGTAACTGGCTTAAGACGGATTACTTATATACCTTTACTGTACCAGAAAGTGTTAGTTGCGCAGAGTCGGGATTATATCGCACAACCATAGAGGTGGCTGTCGCATGTTAACGCCATTACGATACCACTGCTTTATTTATTAATAAATAGTTAGTTATATTTGATTGAGGTGTGCATTATGAAATAACAAATTTTGACTAAATTCAATAAAAAATTATTGAATTTTACCAAAAACTATGCTACCTTTTCTACCTTTGATGTATGTGGTGGAATGAATGAGAAAAAAGATGAAGTGTGCGATATGATGAAAGATATATTGACGTATTGTAAGTGAATGACGAAGTGGAAGGCATGGGAGTACGGACCTTTTACTGCTGATCCAGTCACGGCTGACAGTGAGTACAAGAATCCTCTGGATCAGGGTAAAACTGTGCCTAATACGACCTTTTGTGGTTGGAGTATATGCAGTATATGCACCAACATGAAAGAGAAGAATTTTTGTAGTGTGTCAGAGATACTAATGCAAAGCTAAGAAGAATGAAAAGATTATGTTAGGGTTCTCAAATGTCAAATGGATGGGAGGTTTTAAAATGAGATGATTATGAAACAGGTTTAGGGAGCCTTGGCGACCCAAGAGTGAATGACAATGGAAGGAAATTGCTGGAGACAATACTGGGAGTATTTATCACGCATAAATTCCACTGTAAACACACCTCCAGGCTCCAGCAATTTCCTTCCATTGTCATTCACACTTTAGACATAAGAATATTGGACATGCAAGCAGGATTTAGAAGCAGATTTTATTGGACTGGGGTGCTTGGACAAATATAAATAATATGGATCAGGTCTTTTCCTTACGATGTCTTAAAGTTTCTGGCGAAAGGCCAAAATGTCTTCTGTACCTATGGAAAAGGCTTACAAACGTGTGGCGAGGAATTAAATATAACGTTTAAAGAACTTTATTATTCAAAATTTAATTTAAGCACGCATCTGATTCAGCCGCTGAAATTGGTAGGGACTCTATGGGGTGCATCAGAATCACCGGAGCCTGCATGGGTTGGTTCGTATCGAGAAAGGTTGTGTTGCCTTCTCGAGGCTATTCAACTTATTCATGGACAGTTGTCGGAAGGTTATTAAAGAAAGTGAAAGGGGATTAAAATGGGCAAGTTACAAGTGAATATTGTTTCCTATACGTTGACGATCATGTGATACGTCTTCGGTGGAGTAATTGCAGGAGCTGGTAACCGTTAAGTAAAACGCTTTGAGTGTTAAGTTTGTTAAAGTGAACATAGAAAAAACAAAATCTATGGTAGTTAAAAGAGATGTCAAAATTTAATATACAGTGATATCATCAAAATATCACTGCCTTGCGATTCTGTAACTCACTTCTCGATTTGAGAGCGACCGCCGATGCGAAAACCGCTGTGTGAGTTCGAAAAGTGAGTTACAGAATCGCAGGGCAGGTAATAAAAAATTAAAATAATTAAAAAATAATGCGATATTCTGGTAAATGGAGGAAAAGCGGAACAAGTTGGAATAGAGTAAATTTATCGTTGCATTCCTTTATCTATACCCAAGAAATCTTAAACAAAGTTCGATTGGCCGTACAAAAGGGAGTGCCCTACTCAAATATACGGTAATGCATTAGGTGTGGCAGAGAAATGAGAATGAATGAAAGTAGAATTAAGGCCGTTGCAATGAGAGCGTTCAGAAGTATTTGTGGTGTAAAAGGGCGTGATAGGATAAGTAATACATAATTCTAGAGAAGGGGCGTGAGCGAAGTGGAAAGTGGATGAAGCGAAAAAGATATGTCCGTGAGAGGACCGTAGCAAGTGGAGATCCGTGTTATCTGTCTACCCCTCCGGGAAAAAGGCGTAATTATATAAAACAATAAAAATGATACTCTATGCAAATATTTACATGGCGGAACATATTGTTAACTGAATAAATAGATTAGATCCCACTGTACATAATATTGTTGTTTTGATGTTACTGTTTTTTCAACGTTTATAATATTATCAAAACGTATGATGATAACCTTCTGTAACCAAGAGAATATATTTAAGATAATTGAATAAAAATACCAGTAGCACAAGCTTTGTCTCAGATTTCTGTATGTAATGTGATCATTGATTAATGCCCGAACCCAATAACCTATCTCATATCATAAATCCCAATAACATATCCATAATCCACCATCTGAGATAGTAATCTTAATCCAAATGTTGTAACAAGTGTGCCAATAACCAATCGACGGCTTGTAATAGCCACTGTCGATACAAGCTATTCATGGGAGGTCGTATCGGCGTCTGTGGATAGACCTTTGTATGAAAATGACAGTTGACGAAAGCTCAATTTCAGCAGTTAATTATTGAGCGATGACGGAGCGAGCGAAGCTCCCATACGCCCACTCTTATGACACTCTGTACAAACACTAAGGCTTTTGAACGGTTAACCGATTTTGAAAATTATTTTTTTAAATTAAAGATGGAAAAATTTCCCGTGCTATATATGTATTTTTACTCATCATTAAAAATTGAGTTGAACACTCGCTCCGCTCAAATTTGTGCTGAAGCGAAGCAGAATTGCGAGCACTGCGGCGTCCTAGTTTTAGCAGATTTTAACTTACACCAGTTTTTTAAATAATCAAAAAACTCTTTGTTATGTTTTGAACATACACATGTATATTTTGATGCTATTCGTACGGTTTTATTTACTTTATTTGGTTTACATTGATTATCAAATATGAGTGAAAACTCGGTAAAATGGAACGACAAAGAGCATTATATTCGTCGCCAAAAATGGATTGTCTTCGTAGTATTTGGTTATTGTGATGCAGATAGGAGATCGATCGACTGTCACGGTCTGATCTCATAAATTTCTCATTGTTTTCAATCTGAGATTGTGGATTGATTATTGGTTTCGGGCGTTAATAGGTAAGTGATCAGTCTTTTGCACTTCACATACGCCGTTAACTTTTTTAGCCAATAGGTCAATACTACTCACCTATATTTATGAAATGCTTTAAACATGAAACACAGATTGTATATATCGACGTAGGAAAGCATATTTGCTGTAAGTAGACAAAATACCTAAAGTGACTTTTTCCTGCCATTAGAATCAGAAAAAAGCCGCATCGAATGACCTGGGTCCTGTGTCTCTACGATGAAAAAAAAATTACATACGCCGTTGAAAACGCCCGTCCTTATATTATTTTTAGCAAGATTAAATGCTGTATGTAGACCAAAATCTAGTCATTTCAGACATTTCGCACTTACAGCAAAAGAAAATCTGCATTTTTTTCATTACAAATACTTACTTCTTCCCATTTAAAAACTTAACGCTACTTACAGCATTTCAGCGGCGTGTGATTTTTACATTCGTTTACTTACAGCAAGTTTAGGGAACCTACAGTTTTGGTTTTTTTACCATTTACGACATTTTATTTCAACCAAACATTACATTACCAAATGACCCACTGCATTTCTAGATCTAATCATAATTATAAACTAATCTTACATCTTGAATTGCAATTAAAAGTACCCAAATACATAAATTTCCTGCATACAGCATATTTACCGCCTGTAAATTGATAATATTTCCGCGCGTACATTTTTCTTCCTTAGTTACAGCGTTTTAAAGGTTTGTGATTTAAAAAACTGTTTGCTGTAACTAGCCAAACACGTACTTATAGTAACTTTGTATAAAAAGTTTACATTGCAAATGGTGACTGGCAGTTAAATAAATATATGTTTCAAAAATGGTAGCAATATCATGGATAGGTCAGACACTATTAATTTTTTTCCGAAATTAATAAAGTTTTTTGGCTCTGGTGAACAATTGCAATATGTCTACTTACAGCAAATGTGCTTTCCTACGTCGATATGTATAAGGGCCATATCACATTGGCGATTTGCGAGCGATTTGAAAGCGATGCGATTGCGCGGCGTGGGCGCCGTGACGGCGCAGCTTCGTTCTCGCGGCGTGGACGTGGATTTTATACACTCGAGGGTTGGTCTGTCGTATCAAAGACGCGAGTTTGAGCGGACGCACCATCAAATAATGGCGTCGTCGGATGATAATCTTTTAAAACCTTTTTAAAAACTTTAATATCGAGTTATTTATAATTGATATTCAAAATCATCTTGTTATATAGGATCAAACAAAAAGAGAATATAACAAAGCCAGCAGTAGTGTTTCCTCGTCAGAATCCATTTTGCTACTGAGTGTACAAAACGCGGAAGGTACGCTCGCGTCCTCGTCGCGTCGTCGCGGCGTGTGCGGAACGCGTACAGTCGCTTTCAAATCGCTCTCTAATCGCTAGTGTGATAAGGCCCTTAAGTTAGAGGTAAATTTTTTGCATAAAAGAACACAAATATTCATTATCAAAGTCACTTGCGATGATAAGCCTTCAATACATTAATCACTGTTTTATTTTATTTACAGAAAGCAACTCCAAATACATTGGTATTAAATGTATATGGTATGAGTGAATTGTCTGGATTGGGTTTTCTATATGACGCCACAGAGCCAGAGGCTTTGGGCCGGCCAGTACCTTACCATAAATATAAGGTTTTTTACATTGATACATAGTTTTCTTATAATATAAGCTTGCTTGAGCGTCACTTGTTTTTATAAATCTAACTAGTTCTATATAGTGGCGGACAATTCATTGCCAGTTCTCGTCCGTTCTACGCTCTTGATTTGAGAACTTGCAGTAAATGTAAATTTAGAAGCATTTTCTTTATGTTCAAATTAAATTACTTTTAGATTTTTACCACTGTTGACAATGTACTACTATTACGTTTCTTTACCTATTTTTATATAATTACACGAGTGTTACTTTTTTAGCTTGTAAATCTAGAAAATATGGAAGAAATTAAGGAACCTAACGTCTCAGGTGAACTTTGGTTTAAGGGTCCAGCTGTTTTTAAGGTAAGAATAACATTTCGTCGATACTCTGTTATTCCCAATAGAACCGCTATTTAATATTGAGTATTTTTATCAAGGCTGTGATGCAACGAATACTACTTTAACGAATAGGTATCAAGCCTACTTACTTTTATTATACGGCGAATACGAATATCAATAATTCAACAAAGCAATAAATAATACACACTTATTTTTTTCCTTAGATATTTAATAATTGAAATTACGTACTGACAAATTTTTGTTCAAAATGCACAGTATTCGAACTTCTCTGGCATTAAGTGATTACTTTTTTCTGTTTGTAAATTCTCACCGGTTGAAAAACTTCTTTCTGATGCGACAGTAGAAGGCTTTAATGAAAATTACTTGTGGGCCAGTTTTTTCAGCTTTGGAAAATATATATCACTAGGTATACAACAGAAAGCCATTGGATCAGTTGGGTGTTGGTTGTTTTAGATACGTGTCTACTTCATTTGTATTTTCTGTTAGAATGAATAAGAAAATAACCGGAAAATATTGGAATTGGTTCTACCATTTCCGCCTCTTCAATAACTTCTTGGCATGCACGCCAAATTCCTCTACAGGTTGTTCTAGCTGTCTTATCATTCTGACAATAACTCCTTCATCAAGCACAAAGCATCGTATCAACCCTTTCAACAACAGTATATAGTGCGAAGGTTCACACTTATAAATTATATTAATTAAATATAAAACTCGTGTGAGATCGGCGTATATATTTGGTAAATATCTACCATTCGGCGAATAGGAATTTCGGTAAATATCTTCTATTCGGCGAATACGAATATTCGTATTCGTTGTATCACTTATCAGATAGATTTTTAACTACATATATCGTTAATGTGCCTACTAGTTCTCTTGGTCAAACGCAAATATATATATAAAATAAGTATATACATATTCATAGAACTTAAGACAGTTTATCTTTTATATTAGATAATATATACAAGGCATATAACTAAGCAAATTTTCATAAGTAACTCAAACCTGAGGTTCTAAGTTCACTTATCTGCACCCATAGTTGCCAAAATAGTCGTTTTATTTTCCAGGGTTATTATAACAATGAAGAGGTTACAGCGGCAACCCTGACGAAGGATGGATGGATGCGCACTGGAGATATTATGTACCGAGATAAGAATTATCTTTTCTACTTTGTTGACAGACTCAAATCACTACTTAAATATAGAAATTATCAAGTGAGTTAATTTTTTTTCTTTTTTTGAGATATATTTAGAAAGGAATAAAACATTTTTTAAAAATAATTATTACACTCGTATATCTTTTCCTGACCTGCGATTCTGTAACTCACTTTTCGAACTCACACAGCGGTTTTCGCATCGGCGGTCGCTCTCAAATCAGTCGTGAAGCAGTCATTTTATGATTTGGCATTCTAATAATCAATAAACTACGAGCTCCCACCTTTTCAGAATGCCAAATCATAAAGCTTCACGGCTGATTTGAGAGCGACCGTCGATGCCAAATCCGCTGTGTGAGTTCGAAAAGTGAGTTACAGAATCGCAGGGCTGACCTCACTTGCTAAAAGCAGTCGAAATAAATTAATAAATTTTATTTAGATCTGATGTTTTCTGATCGAATCTAAATTTAAAAAAAAAATATTATTTCAATCTTTTAACTAATGTTGATCTGACATTTGATGGTAATAGAACTAGGGTACTTTACTTGCAATGTTCAAACCTGTTTAAGTTATTGGTTAACAAACTGCAGAATAAAGAAATAAAACATGTTTTTAATTTCCATATGTCAATATTCAGTTTTTGTAATTAGAAAACTTAATTGAAATTTTAAACGTCATTTGTTTTCTATTCAATTTTTGGGACAAAATAATATTCAGTCTCAATAATTGTCGAGTCCAACACTGTTTTTCTCTTGTAGCCTTAATAAATTTTCCCCTTCACCACCGTCGACGACATTTTGTATAAAATTCATAAGTATGTCCTAAATTTGTGGCTCTGGTGGACATAAGCAGCTAGAGTATTTACTATTTTGTATCAAAATAAAATTTTGTTTTTTATAGATATCTCCAGTAGAAATAGAAAGTTTAATCAGAAATCATCCAAGCGTGTTCGAAGTAGCCGTGACAGGGGTCCCGGATCCAGAACATGGTGATCTGCCTGTTGCTTTTGTGATAAGATTCGACGAAAGTAAAGTAACCGCTCAAGAGATTAAGGATTTGGTTAAAAGTTAGTAAACTATTTAAAAAAAATATGGGCGTAGTAGTGCTGAATGTTTGCTGATGATTTCTGCGCGATCAGGCGAAAAAGGGCGTTATTACGTCTCAGAAATGGCGACAACATTTGAAAGGGAATTGTAGATAGACCCAATTCCTACCTATGGCAACACTGGATGGGGCTTTCCATAGATTAATAAAGAAATGCTTTACATATTGCTAAAAAGTTTTTGACACTGTTCCCAACTCCGATTAAACTTTCTCTGATTATAGTTTTATATTAAGAGGTAATATGAGAACTCTCTGGTGATTTTATTAACATTGAATTTTCCCTTGCTTATTTGTGTTTGTTTGAAAAAAGGGTGCGTGTACTTATGTACGCGCGTAAGAAGTTATACTTCTTTGGCATTATTAAAAATAGTTTTTGATTGCATGCAAATAATTAATTACAATTAAATAATCAAAGACTGGAAAAGGAGTCATTATAGTCAATTAAGTTCAGTTTACATTTGAAAAATTAAATAAATAATTATTTATTATTATTCTCTTACATTAAGTGTAACATAAATTCTATTTAGTTAAAAGTATATATAATTATATATTTAGAACATCTCTACCAAACACTAAGAAGTATGTTGTAGCTTTGGCAGTATTGCACAATATAAAATTAATAAATTTCTTTGAAAAATTAATCAAAACTCCTTTATTTGTTTAAAAGGTAAATGACAAATGTCATTATGGTCATTCAAAATTCTTGGCATACGAACTTCACGCATATTCTATTTCTTTTTACTTGTAGATTGTCTTATTCCTATCTCGCTCGCGCACGCTATAATCACACTCCCAATTTTGTGTCACAGGTGCGCGCGCATCGTAAAATTTCACTCTCATAAATTTTTCATAACGCGCCTAAAGAAGTATAACTTCAAAAAGTAACTTTTATTAATAGCATTTCGGTCCTACAAGTGATTTTTTTGAAAGTTTTCCTTTTGAAGTTGAATAAAATTTGATGTAATTAAAGAAATCACTGTAAACAACTTAAAGTATTTAGAGAAAATATTCTTCCTATTTTCCTTTCAGATAATTTGTCGGACTCAAAACAACTTCGAGGAGGCGTTATCTTCATAAAACAGTTACCTGTAACTGCTTCCACCAAGGTTGACAGGAAAAAACTCGCCGCTCTAGCGATAGAAATGGAAAGAGAATAATCAAATTTCTTATGATTTTTAAAATTAAATATCACTGACGTTTAACAGAAGAAAAATCTATAGTTAATAGTTGATTGTCTTCTCATTTCTTAGAATCTAGTTTTAGAAGTATAGTTTACGCGATGTTATATACGATGTTGCAATAATATGTTTGTATAGTTCTTATTAATAAATGTATGTGTGATAAAAAGCATGTTTTTTTTAAAAGTAACTACACTTTAGTTCTTCATTTAGTTAGACATCTAGTTTCTTTAAAATAAAAAAAATATGTATTGATGCAATTTAAGAAGGATTTAAACACATTTTAATAGATACTCTCACATAAAAGGTAAATCAACTTTAATATTGCTTTTTTGGGAGAAGGGGAAATGTAGGACAAAATGAATTGTTGTCATTCATTGATAAATTAAAATCACTTAATGTAGAGAATATTGTCTTGCATACATTTCCTTACATCAAAGGTGCACCAAAGGAAAATAAAACTAGATATAAGTTAAACATGTTGTTGCACAATACGTTAACTACTAACAATATACAATTAAATTGTGGCTTAGGTACACTACCTAATTTAATGGACATAAATTGTATATTTAAAAATAAGTATGTATTGACAAAGGATAGGTTCCGCCTAGCTAATTATTATTTACAACAGATAGCTACTATGCTATCTTACTTTTTATTTACAACTAAAGCTAAACATTTAGCTTTTCAGACAACTGCTTCTATTGAGCAGCTAGCTTTTCAGACAACTGCTTCTATTGAGCAGCTTAGCTTAAGTGAATGTAGTGATACTTGCAGTAGCACTTCATTAAGTATAAATAATTTAAATTAGATAGTGTGACAATAGAGGCAAACTCTAGCAATAATTTAGTACAACTCAGCTCAACACAAACATGTTATATTACTAACAACAACTGTTTAAACTTGATGCATCAAAACATGCAAGGTATGTTGGGCAAAGAATTAGAATTGGAGTTGTTTTTAAAATCAAGTAAAATTGATGTCCTATGCATTACCGAACATTGGCTTAGAGAATGCCAAATCATCTTTAACTTTGATCAGCACCAAGTTGCAAGTTCGTTTTGCAGATTGTCGGCGATTCATGGGGGCTCTTTGATTATTGTTAATAAAAATTTAAAGTATAAAGAGCGTAATGACATCGTGTGTCTGTCTGTAGAACACTCTTTGGAAGTAGCCTGTATAGAGATTGAGAATTGCATTATTTTAAGTGTTTACAGACCACCAAGTGCATCTTACGATTTTTTTGAAGAAAAGTTGGAGGAAATTTTGTGTAAAGTTAGTTTTAAGAACAATAAGTATATTATTGTATGTGGTGACTTCAATATAAATTTATTAGAAAATACCTCCATTAGTAAAAAAATTCAATCTGTTATTAAAATCTTACAATCTTGTTAACTTGTTTCTTGAGCCCACTAGAATTACAAGCTCCACTGCTACATGTATAGATAATGTATTTACAGATGCAGAGGCAATGCAAACCTCAATTACAACTGATCTTAGCTCAGATCATTGTGGACAGTTAGTGGCGCTAAAATGTAAAGTGGTGAAACAAGTAAATAAGAGCAGTGTGTTTGTTCCAGTGAATAAAAAGCGAATGGTGAGATTTAGACATAATATAGGTAAACGCCTACCTTTATTACCGGTAGGTACTACCGTTGATACACAATACAACAATCTAAGTGATTGTATTAATAAAGAGTTCAACACCATCTTTACCCCAAAGAAAGTCTCTCATTCGCAGTGTAAATCGTTTAGTGATTGGGCGACAGCGGGAATTTATAAAAGTAGACAACGGTTGTATGACCTTTACGCTGAAAAGTCATACAATCATAATGAAGAATTTATTCTTTATGTTCGAAATTATTCGAAATTATTTAAGAAAGTTTGTTACACGGCCAAGTCCTTAAATATCAAAAACAAGATTAAAAATAGTACCAATAAAACTAAAATGACTTGGAAGATAATTGATAGTGAAACTGGAAGAGTCAGGGATCGCAATCAAGACATCGAACTATGTGTCGATAACACTATAATCAAATCTAACGAAGAGATAGCGATTGTTTTTGATAAGTACTTTTCTGACATTCCAATTTCGACTACTAAGTCTCTTCAATCATCTCCCGCCCTCGCCGAATCGCTGCTCAAAGATAATGTAAACGAGTGCAAGGTCAGTTTTTCATTCCGACCCATTGGTGCCGACGATATAGTGAGGATATTTAGAACCATAGATATTAAGAACACTACCGATCTTTGGGGTATTTCTGTAAAAATAATTAGTAGCATAATTGATGTAATTGCTCCCCATCTAGCTATAATTTTCAACAATTGTATTAAAAGTGGCGAGTTTCCCGATCTAATGAAACATAGTAAAGTTATTCCTTTATTTAAAGCAGGTAGTATGTCCGACCCCAGTAACTTTAGACCAATTTCCGTACTACCTACTTGTAGTAAAATATTTGAAAAAATTATATTAAATCAACTGGTAAGTCATTTTAACGTAAACAAATTATTACATAATAATCAGTTCGGTTTTACCAAGGGTCGCTCGACAGCCGATGCCGGTGTTGAGTTATATAGATATATAGTTAAGGCTTGGGAGGAGTCGCATGACGCTTTAGGTGTTTTCTGCGACTTATCCAAAGCATTTGATTGTGTCCAACACGAGACCTTAATCGGGAAACTCCGCCACTATGGCATCAAGAATACCGCACTGAATCTTCTGACTTCCTATTTACACGGAAGAACTCAGAAGGTTGAAGTGAATGGTAAGAGGTCCTCTGGGTCGGCAGTAGATATGGGGTACCACAGGGCTCAATTCTTGGCCCTTTCCTCTTTCTTGTTTATATAAATGATCTACCTTTCATGGTAGAGAGAAAACATCAGATAGTTTTGTTTGCTGATGACACGTCCTTGATTTTTAAAATCAAACGACAAATAACAAATTTTGACGATGTGAACAATGCTCTGTCTTCGATTGTCCATTGGTTTAGTATGAATAACCTTCTACTTAATGCAAAAAGACAAAATGCATTAAATTTTGTGCAAAAAATGCAAGGGTTATGGATACTAGACCAATTATAAACGGTGAGGAATTGAATCTGGATGATACAACTGTATTTCTCGGAATCACCATGGATTCAAAACTTCAGTGGTCCCCTCATATTAACGGATTGGCGAAGAGACTTAGTTCTGCAGCCTACGCGGTTAAAAAAATTCGCTCACTAACTGATGTCGATACAGCTAGACTTGTTTATTTTAGTTACTTTCATAGCTTAATGACTTATGGCTTATTATTATGGGGTCATGCTGCTGATGTCGAAACTATTTTCATCCTGCAGAAGAGGGCTATTCGTGCAATCTATAATTTAAAATGTAGGGAATCTCTTAGAGATAAATTCAAGGAAATTAATATACTTACCTTTCCCTCGCAATATATTTATGAAAATATTATGTATGTATACAAAAATAGTGATAAGTTTACTAGAATAGAACATACGCACAATGTTAATACACGGAACAAACGCAGGCTGCAATTTCCCCGTACTAGACTATCTAAAGTTAGTAATTCTTTTTTGGGGAAAGGGATACTCTTCTTTAATAAAATCCCAGAGGCTCTTTTATCACTGCCTTTCAATAAATTTAAGAAATGTATTAAAGAAAAGCTGTGTAAAAAGGCTTACTATAAAGTCAACGATTATCTAGTTGATAAAAGGGCCTGGGACTAGTGCTAGACAGGCTACTTCTAATCAATTTGCGATATTTGTTTTAAATAAGTGTTGTTTGATGATTTGCTGTTTTAAAAGAGTACCGAGAGTTTTTTACGCCGGCTTTTTCTCTCGGCCTACACCCTCTGTCTTCTTTGCCGATGAGTAGGGATGCCTTCAAATTTAATGACGTGGAATAAGTGATACATGTATCTTATGTTCCATAATAAACATATTTTATTTTTTTATAAAAGGTAAATCAACTGTGGCGCTGACAAGCGTCAAGCATCTTACACGTATGCTTAATTGCAGATATAGAAAAGATAGCCGAGGTTTGAACAAACGACCTCGTGGCTACTATTCAAATTTCTGTTATCCAATATACCAAACGAATTGTTGTTTTTATAAAAACTTTGTAAACCGTTTAAACGCTGCGTATTTAAAACATTTCCTCTAGATCTAGAAAAAAGCGGAATTTGGAGTTTTACGATTTTGGTATAATCAATGACTAAAAATAAACAATACATTTATTGATACTAGTCTTTCATTGTTTTATTTATACTAATGAAAAATACAATATAAATATTGAGTAATAAGGCGAAGGAAAATTGTTGAAATCGAATGGACATATTGGACGTAATAAGAGATAACAAGGAGAAAAGACATATAAAAATAATGATTTCTGTATGTAATATGGCCTAATCTTTACTATATTTTCGCATAACGGCCAATTGCTTAGCATTACTCTGTCGTCTACTATGTGATGTATGTCTAGAATTACTAGATCTTTCTGATCGAGGAGTTGGTGCTGGATACAGGTCATTCTTCTGGGACTCTTCTTCGTCATCCTTTTTGGAGCCTTTAGAACCGCTGCCAGTGGATTCCCTGTGCCTCACTGGTTTTACGTCGCCTCTGAAGCTATGTGATACTCAGACTTCGATATCAGATTTTTGCGTATTGCAGGCATTATTTATATCGTAGTATGTGGAAGTAGTGATCAGTCTTAAAATAAAATCTCGCCCTTACCTTAAATTCACACTGCTAAGCTGACCTATATAATATTGTGTTTATTCGAAGGGGAAACAATGTATACGTACCAAAAAGCAGTTTACTTTTTAACGCATAATAACGCAAATTTCTATGAAAATGATTTGTGCTTTAATCAACAGGACATTGCTGTCGAAAGAGGAACGTTTTGTAATAATTTAATTTTGCGTAAAAGTGAGCCTAAGTGCATGGGTCCTTTTCATATTTATTTATTCTAATTATAAATAAAAAATTAAATAGCCCTGAAAAAAAGTATTGCCCATTTGCCATATTGTGAGATACATAACTCTATGGTATGTCTTTAATATTTTCAGGGTTATTGGAACAAAACCATAGAAACAAAAGAAGCCCTGACAAGTGTGGCTGGCTTAGAAACGGAAACTTATTTTACAGAGATGACAATTATAACTTTTACTTCGTAAATCGCTTAAAATTATTACTTAAGTACAGGAATCATCAGGTATATATCATCAGAGATTTTCTTTATCTTTTTATAAGAAATTTAAAAAAAAGCACTATCTTCTAACGATTCTGGTTATGCAAACTATCTATCTGTATGAAAGATTTCATAAGTTGGATCCGGCATATGAAATGAGTAAAATATTATTTGTTAATAAATTGTTTATTTATTAAAGTTGTTAAATAATATTTAGATAAAATCGCAGATTTATTGTAATTCCTTAGATTCATTTATACATAATATAATTAGATTAGATTATAATTAGATTAGATTATATGTATTCGGGCTATCACTGGCGCCGCTTGTCTCCTAATTACAATGATATCTTGACATTTCCCATGATCTTAATCTTAACATTGTCTGTCTTACGAAATTTAAACGGTGTTTCTACAGATATCACCAACGGAAATAGAAAATGTAATTTATGGTTACCCGGGCGTGTTAGATGTTGCTGTGACCAGTATTCCTGATCTGGAGTGTGAGGACTTGCCCGTGGCTTGAGTGAAAACCTTAAAGGGTCTCAGGTCTCCGCTCGGGAGATTAAAGATCTAGTTGAGGGTAAGTAACGACTATGAATAATTTAAAATTGATATAATTTTGCTCTAAAACGTTAAACAAACAATTATGAATTAATCTATATACAACTTAATTTTTTTTAAATCCAATAGAATTATAATTATATATCAATGATTATGTAATCTTTATCTAATATATGTATATAACAGAAAGTCCTGTTAGTTACACTATTTATAACTTAAAAACGGCAGAACCGGCTCGAACATAGGATTTTTATCCTGTTTCCGAGGGACGTTACATAAAACGTGGTATAACAAAACGCAACAAACAAAAAACTAAAAAAAATCTGTCAAAACATCAGTCTAGCCGTTTATTTGTTAAAATGGTATAAAAAAACGCAACTGACACAATAACAAAACGCTAGTTACAGATAAACGTAGTGCTATCTTGTTAAGTATGATTGAAAATTTTACAATTAGAAGTTTTCGACTTGATCGGTTGATGTGTTTATTTGAAGTTTTTATTAGCTTATCGTGCCGATATTATCATTAACACGCCACGACCAAGACGATCGAATCTTTCCCGACAAAGCTGTCATGCAATAAATGGGTGGACTGATTTTGATAAGTGGATTCGAGAATAGTTCAGATTATTTAGAATTACAGTCAAAACCGTTTATAACGACATCGTTTACAACGACCTATCGGTTATTACAACCAGATTGTATGGTCCCGTCCGAATCCCTAGTAAACTATTCAGTAAAGAAACCGCTTATAACAACATCGGATACAGCGACATATCGCTTACAACGACGAAAGTTTATCGATATTCATCGGATATAACGACCAACCGCTTCTTGTCTCAGTAAAACAAAACAATACAAACGATTTTAAATTTTATTTATAAGCATTGAATGAATATTTAGGCATATTATTACCTACGCACTTTCTCCCAACGAACAGTTTCAGCCAACAACGATTTCCGAGGCTCTTAACGCTGTAACGATTTTGCAAAAATTTGTTGCCTTTAACAAACAGTTTGATACTGGTGATACTCATACCTTGAGGAGTATGAAACGTAAAATGCAAAAAATATTTGAGACTGGGCTAAAAAAAACAGACTGACTGATTACTTTTGTACCTAATTATTTCGTAATAAATATTTTTGTTTCTTTTTTGACTCGGTTACATATTATAATATTAACATACCATATTATAACCCATACCTACCTATTCTAGATCGATAACTATGTACATACATATGTACTGTACTTGTCTACATGACATTGCTTATAACGACTATCGGATATAACGTCGGCAACTATACGGCCCCTTCAATGTCGTTATAACCGGTTTAGAATTAGATTTTTTTTAAGTTTTGTATTTAGAATGTGTGTACAGGACAATGTTAGACAGGTCTGCTAGTATAACCTGTTTTGTTATATGTTTGTTTAGGGTTAAGAAGTGTAAATAAATAAATATGTAATTTTTATTTCAGCCAATCTCACTGACACAAAACAGTTACGAGGTGGGGTGATATTCCTTCAAGATTTTCCGATTACACCCACATGCAAAATAAAACAGAGTTTATTGAAACAAATAGTAGCAGAATATCTTTAGATATATTGTAAATTAATTTTATTATTAAATTTGTATAAATTAATATAATACCTTTTATGAATAAATTTTGAAGCGTTTATTTCATACAAATGTGTGAATATGATAAATTTATTTATAAATTATTATTTTACTTAGGTACTATTATGTAATAGTAATATTAATATGACACCTTTGATCCTACAGTTAGTAAATGTAACCATCTAGTATTGTCTTTGATTTACATAACCTTTTACATTTAAAGAAAAAACTGTTTGACCGGATTGAAGTTATGTATTATTATAAATTTACAACTATTTAACATAATTTTAAATTTATCCGACGTTTCGCGTGCTTTACAGCGTGCGTCAGCGTGGAGTCACCGTGACCACGCACGCTGTAAAGCACGCGAAACGTCGGATAAATTTAAAATTATGTTAAATAGTTGTAAATTTATAATAATACATAACTTCAATCCGGTCAAACAGTTTTTTCTTGAAATGTTACCATTTGATACAAAGGAGTTGTAAAATGTCACTGTTTGAAAATCACTGAATAAAAAGTGTAATACCTTATGAAACAAACTAGGTAAGAAAAAAGAAATAAGTTTATTCAAAATGTGTTCATTAAATATGCAATTGTCCACAATCAGGTTCTAGACAGTCACAGACAGAATTTTCATTATCTTCAACATAATTTTCAGTGATATTGCTTTCATATAAAATGTCACGAAGGTTCATTTTGCCAGTCTGCTCCAAACTGTTTCAGCAGTAGACTTTTAACGTCCTTTTTCTTCGCACCTTGGATGAAATGGTCTAATTCTTTCTCCTTTAAATTGAGATTGATCAAGTTGGTGTTGTGCTTTAATAGGTTTTCATCCTTATTATTTTACATAATTAAAATTTTTAAAAATTTTAAGTTTATAACCATACATAACTTCTATCCGGTAAAAAAGTGTTTTCTTTAAATGTGTAAAAGCTATGTTAATCAAAGACAATACTCGGTTTTCACCCTTTTCTTCTTCAACCCTTTGAAATTTATAGCTTCTAAAAGTGTTGACTACTGATTTAATTATATTTCTCACAAGTTCCTTTTCAATGCATATACGTTTTAACAGATAAAAAACCAGTAGGTATATGAATTTAGTGTTGCTACAATGTCCTATCGATTTAATCAAAATACAACAGAAGAAATCAAAATCAATACTAATCATCTAATCAATACTAATCAGCTAATCAATACTTATTTTGTCAGCAAATGTACTGATTTTTAATACGACTTTAGCAGCGTCGGGTGTAAGTATTTACTGAGAAAATGTCCCATTTTGATATTAAAGTCTTGACCACTGCTGTGGTTGTATAAAAATGTCACTTTTTGTTCCGCAAGCAGCTATCGATATTGATTTCTCCACGAAATTAGTCACCTTTTGAAGTTGTTAATTGAATTTAGTGTTTTGAGTCAGATAGTAAATAAAAAACGAGATAAGCTGAATACGTTAATGTCACCTTTTCTTCCTAAGCTCCTCAAATAATATTTGGTAATATTTTTTTTAAGAATTAGAGTTTTATATTGGCTATTAGGCGCTATCTGTCGCTATCGTTTTTATACGCCCAAGGTGAACGTCGTTATGCAGGCTTTTAAATATAAAATTATGTTTCATAATTCAGGTTTCTTTACATATAATAATGTTGGCTGGTGCGATGCTTTTGATATAAATAATACCAAAGACAATTGAAGATGATGTAGAGCATGCTAGCGACGGTGTTCTAAACATTTTACAACATTTTTTATTACCGCACCAATTTCTAATTTCTTACTTTAATTGTCTTTGATAATACCCAAGAAAAGTTCACCTTTAATGTACACAACTGCACTGATCTTGAGAAAATAGAATCATTCTTACTGAGAAAATATGTAATATAAAATTATTGATTAATGAATATTTCATCAATATGTATATTCATTAATACTGAATCAATTAATAAATCTTTTGTAATGATGAAATAAGTTATACAACACTGTCTTTTCGTTTTCAAGCATAGACATTGTGTGGGTAATATTACATAATATGTATAAAAACTAAATAATTACTATTGACGTAATCACCAAATAAGATAAGTAAAATCAAAGACCTATAGATAGATAGTGCTTACGTAATACTTGAACGAAAAAAAAAAATATTACATTAATTTTTTTTATGAATATACAACTGAATTATATAAACAGGCTTTGTATCTTAGATGGTATCACACTAGTACTATTATTATATATTTGCTGATAAGAGAATTTTAGTTCGTTTTCCTTGATGAATAAAATTTCGGCTTTGTGCCCCTAGAATAAGGTATTTAGGTAGAAGTAGTATTATTGCAACTAAAATTAATTTGTCAAGTGTATAATTTAATTAATCCTTTGTATCAGCATTATTATCTTTCCCTAGTAACAGCTTAATTTGGAAGAATTTTTTGAAAGATAAACTGACCTTGAACTTGACTTCTTTCATGGCCGTAAAATGATATCATAGTCTTAATTGTTCTAGAATCAAATGAAAGTGCATGTATTTTTTTGAACCAGTGACGAACGTATACTATATGGGCCTAATACGCCTGGTTGATGATGGGACCCGTAAGTACGGTCTGCTGCTACTCTCCACTCAGTCACGATAACTTTTTCTAAACTTTCTGGATCTCTGCGTATTATAAAAAACTCGTTAAGGATACTTTGATAACAAAGTGTCGGAAGACGATTCTTTCGTCCGTCTTAGTATGGACACGTTTGTTGCCTAAGCTGTCCAGGGAATCCCTGGCATCCGCCTCCAACACCACATTTCCAAAGCATCTATTTTTCTCCTTACAGATGTCCGTTTTGTCCAGGATTCAGCGCTACAGAGGAAAACCGGAAATACCAGAAAAAAAAGGATATCCGGTCCTTCCATAAAATTGCGTAGTAGGTCATCTGGGTTCTTCGGATTTCGTTTTTGTTTCCTTCTTGACTGCTTATCACGGAACCGAGGTATATAAACTCCCGTACTATTTCTAGATCTCTCAGTTCACCGTGTGTGTTCTCTCAGTGAGTTTCCTTGATCTATCGATTATCATTACTTTAGTTTTGGATATTTATATGTGTAGTCCAAACTTCTCAATTTTGCCTGCACTCTCTGAATTAGTTCGGCTAAGTCATGTTCCTTAGATGCCAAGAGGGTGGTGGTGGTCTGCTTGCCCAGAATAATCAAATCTTTTTTTTTTTTTTATTTGGACCACAAAATTAGGACAAACACATGATATAAATTGACATACATACATAAATATCAAAAGCGGTGCCGTCCCTATAACATGTGGACACGACCAGCGAAATCAAGTAGATACAAAAAACAGTGTTAAATACAAACAAGCATAAAAATTAAAAATGCAAACTATAAAAGAATTAAACTATTTGAACCAAGAAAATAAATTATCGGTACTGTGTCCTAATTCTACTCTTAGCTGAGGCCAGAGAACCGTGAAAAATGTCAAAAATCTGTGCAATATCATTATGGTAGCGACATAACCTATTAATTGGTGAGTTTCTGCCAACGTTTGTTCGACAATGTGGGATGTGAAAACATCCCACATTGTACAAACGACTCCCGACCCGAGGAACTTGTATGGATAAACGTTCTAAAATTTCTGGGCAATCCACAATTCCGTTAATTACTTTAAATAGGTATAGCAAGTCGATATTTGCTCTACGAACACTCAGAGATTCCAAGTTATAGAAATTTAACCTATCCTCATATTTACTCAACATTGCACATTTATTATTTCTAAAGGATAGATGGTATAAAAACTTTCTCTGCACCCTTTCCAGCCTCGCTGAATGGGTTAAATACATTGGAGACCAGACACAACTATTGAATATGCTTCTAACGAGGCTGGTAAAAATAGTAACTGCGACACTGGGATCGGTAAGACTCCCTGTTATTCTGGAGATAAAACCAGAGAGCTTTGAGGATCTTTTTATAATACTATCCACATGCTCCCTAAAACTTAGTGAACTATCCATAATAACACCCAAATCTCTTATGCTTTTAACCTCTTAAAGTTTCTGGCCCCTTATGCAGTATGTTAGTGGTGAAGATTTCTTTTTTTTCGAAAATTTTATGCAGCAGCACTTTCCTTCATTTAAAATCATTCTATTCAGCCCGCACCAAATGTTAACTTTGTTTAGTTGCTCCTGCAGAAAATCAATATCAATATCCTGTTGAACATGTTGGTATAATTTTAAGTCATCAGCGTACATTTTAAAATTGCACTTCAAATTATATGCTAAGTCATTCACAAAAATGATAAAGAATAAAGGCCCTAAGTACGATCCTTGTGGTACACCCATAGGTATAGGCTGACCGTTAGACACATGCCCTCTGATCTTTACCAGTTGTGTCCTATTTTTTAAGTACGAGTCACACCACCTAAACAATGACCCATGGATGCCCATGGAAAAGATCTTCTGCAGTAGTAAATCGTGGCAAATGAGGTCAAAAGCCTTACTGAGGTCGGTGTATATTGCATGGATTTCCTGTCCGTTGTCGATTCCCTTCGCTATGTCCTCAGTGAAACCAAGCAAATTCGTAGTGGTCGATTTCTTTGGCATGAAACCATGTTGCTCTGGGTGTATATTCTGTTTTACATGCCAAAAAATTCTCTGCTGAATAAGAGACTCAAACACTTTTCCAGGTGCTGGCAATATTGAAACTGGTCTATAGTTCTGAACAACGTTTCTATCTCCACCTTTGTGAATAGGTGTTACCCGAGCAGCTTTCCATACGGTAGGAAACACACCTTGACGCAAAGACTCGTTATAAATCATGCATAGGGGAATCGATATATTTTCGGCACATTTCTTTAGCACAACATTAGGTATATTATCTAACCCTATACCTTTGTTTGCGTCTAACTTCCTAATGGCGGCGCGAACTTCAGATACTTCCAGGATCACATTATGCAACGAGGGATAACACCCAGGGACTAGACCTTCAGTTATTGGAGAAG